CCACGTAGGAGACCCGGAAGGAGCTCCTGGCTCCTGGCTTCCCATTGGCCATTTGGGGAGTGAATGAGCAGGTGGAAGATCTCTCTCCCTCGCTCGGTAACTCTCACCCACGTGGGAGGCCCAGATGCAGCTCCTGGCTCCTGGCTTCGGATCAGCTCAGCCACAGCCATCGCAGGCATCTAGGAAGTGAACCAGATGATGGCAGCTCGCTCTATCTCGTTCTCCCTCCCTCCCTATCTCTGCCTCTCAAATAACTAAGTAAATCTTTAAAAAGGAGATCTGAGCGCTGTATTTCCGGTGTCTCCGTTGTCACTACGCATCGACTTTCAGTTCCCCTGCAGCGTGGTTCCTCGTTTAGAGAATGGGGTGAGCCACGCCGGGGGGCCTCTCCCAGCCTCTCCCTCACTGGGCTGGTCCTCCAGCGGCCTCTCCTCGCTCGGACTGAATCCGTTTTGTCCCATCAGCATCGTTTTCATATGTTTGGACAGGACGGCTGTGGGTGTTGCTAAAGTAACCACTTGAGACCACAGAACTCACTCTCGGATCAACCCCTTCCCGGGCGGGGGGCCCAGGCTGGCCGAGAGCGGCAGGGCCAGGTTCTGTGCGGGTCCTGAGCCCCGGCAGCCCTGGGGCTTGGGGCAAGTCGCTTAGCCTTCCCCAGCCTGCCCCGGGCTGGCTGGGTGTGGGAATCCAGTGTGGTGCCCGGCACAGGTAAGCACTCGGCAGGGGGCACCTGTTCTTTGTGCTTGTGCGTCACATCCCGTCCAGAGCTGAGCAAGCCCAGCAAAGCGCTGGCTCTCCTGGCCTCCAGCGCAGGGGCTGAGACGGGGCGGGGGCGGGGGCACGTGGGGCCTCCCACATCCTCCTCACCCCGCCCTGCCGATGCGGTGGGGGCAGGACACAGCAGCGGGGGCTCAGAGGCCGCCACGGGGAGGGTCACTTGTCACTCGACTCACACGCGCCTGTCGTATCTGAACCTCAGGCATGTCTCACTACAGTGAAAAATCAGGCACGTTTAACAAAGTCATTTTTTGGAAAGTGAAGACACCACTGGCATTGAAAGAGGTTAGGCCTTTCGGGGCCAGCATCGTGGTGTCGGCGGTAAAGCCACACCTGTGATCCCAGTTTGAGTCCCGGCTGCTCCACTTCCGATCCAGCTCCCTGCTGACGCACTTGGGAGAGTAGAAGAGGATGGACCAAGTGCTTGGGCCCCTGCACCCACGTGGGAGACCTGGATGGAGCTCCTGGCTCCTGGCTTAATTTGGCCCAAGCCTGGCCATTGTGGCCATTCAGGGAATGAACCAGAATATGGGAAATCTCTCCCTCTCTCTGCTTTTGAAGTAAATACATAAAAATCTTCAAAAAAAAATAATAATGGTTATGCCTTCCTCAAGACAGGCAGGATCGGAAGGAAAATCTAGTATTATAAAGATTTATTTACTTATTTATTTGAAAGTCAGAGAGGCAGAGAGAGAGAGAGAGGTCTTCCATCCGTTGGTTCCCTCCCCAAATGGCCACAGTGGCCAGAGCTGGGCCGATCCGAAGCCAGGAGCCAGGAGCTTCTTCCGGGTCTCCCACGCAGGTGCAGGGGTCCAAGCACTTGAGTCATCTTCCACTGCTTTCCCAGGCCACAGCAGAGAGCTGGATGGGAAGTAGAGCAGCCGGGACTCGAACCCGTGCCCATATGGGATACCAGCACTACGGGCCGTGGCTTTGCCGGCTACACCACAGCACCAGCCCCAGGGAAAACCTTGTTCATTCAGGATTATTCAGGATTCGATTGTTTTTTTCCACAAAACAGCCAAAGGAATTCCTGTCCTGGGTGTGAAGCAGAGCTTCGCCTCTGACTGCAGTCCCGCATCTTGTGCTGTTACCACCAGCAAAGGCGCAGGCCTGAGTATAGAAAAGGACAGAGGGTGAAAGAGGTGTAGACGCACGCGGGTGTGTGTGTGTACACGTGTGTGTGTGTGTGTGTGAGTGTGTACGCGTACAGTCCACAGAACCCATGCTGGCTCATCCTGGGTTGTTTTTCAAAATACTTTTGAATACAAGAAAAGAAAGCCTGCCTTCTAAGAGTGGCTGGAGAGTAACAGGCCTATTTTATTTGAGCCAGCGCAGTCGGCATCACAAAGCACAGAGCTGGTTTTCTCCTTCCGGTCATCCGCGTTCCTCCCCTGTGGGTGAGTGTGAGATGGCCCCGGGGAGGAGCTGCCCACCACACAGCCGTCCCTGGCACACAGTGCCCTGAGCAAGGTGCCGTGTGTTCAGAACCCACTGAAATGTGTAAACGGACAAAGAGGAACGGCGCTGATGGGAAAATGAATGTGCAGGGGGAAGCCACCCACGAAAGTGAAAACACACCTCGCTCAGGGGGTTCAGACCCTGGCCTGTGTTACAAGACAGGAAGTGCGTCTGGTCTCTGAAAACCCTGGGACCTGCGGCACCCTGGCCAGCCTGGCGTCCCAATGCCCGGGGCCACGGCTCGGCTCGCCTCGGGCGCCAACACCGCTCCATTCATTGTGGGAAAGACTGCAAAAGCCATGCTGGTGCCCCAGGCCAACTGTTTTGTAAACCGGGCTTTTGGGAACGCAGCAAACTGCACGCTGGACGGACATCAGGAGGGTGGGATGTGGTGAGCACGCGAGGAGGCTCCCAGCCGCTAAACCATGGCCGCTGCCCCCACACACGTGTGAAGACCAGCCCAGGTGCCCTTCCTGGCTCCTCCCACGTCACGTGACTTACAGGGCAGGCGAGGCCGTGGGAGCCCAGGATGCGGGAGCACTCACTTCCACATCCAACGGCCCAGCGTCTGAAGCCTTGCGGATTAGAGAAAGACGACAGTGCGTGACAGCCATGGTCTCCGTGCACGGGAGGCACAGCGTCCACACAAAACTTCCCACTCGCTGCTCGCACACCAGCGACAGGCGGCGGGCTGCGTCTGCCGTGAGGCCCCGCGGACGGCTGTGAGGCTGTGCTATTTCGGTGGCAAACGCTGGGTTTCAGGACGAGCGGGGGGGGGGGGGCGGGGGTGTCTTTCCCACCCTTGGTGCCTAGAACTGTGGAAGCAACGTTAGGCTCCGCAGAACCTGCAGAGACAGCAGATCCCGCAGGGAGAGTCTGGCCACGACGCCATGGCCACGCAACCCTGGGACTTCCGAGCTCCGGGCAGAGAGGGAGCAGGTTCAGGGAGGAGACGTGTGTTACTCCCGGCCCCTTCCTCTGAAAGAACATGGCCTGTTCTAGGGCAGACCACGTCACATCCATTCCTTCTCCTTTCCAAATCAAACGACCTCATTTCCTCCCTGGATCGCCCAGTTCCAGCTCCTCGGAGCAGCACGCCTGCCCTGCACCCCCTGACCGGAATACCAGCCCTCCCTTCAGGGCCCAGGTGCAAACCCACTCCCTAACCAAGCTCCTTTAATGTGCACCTGTGCCTTTCTCGGCGCCTCGCCTTGGCTGCTGGTCCCTGCCCGTCCGCCTCAGCACGCGGCCTATCGGCAGCGACTGCTCTGTGCATGCAAACAGCCGCTTCCCTCGTCTGACTTCTGTGTCGAAGACAAAAGTTGGAATAAAAGACGCTCCGAGCTCATACTCTGAGGAAGAATCGGTATTTGTAAAGAAAGCCAGAGGACATCTTGGGCTGCCCTTGGGAGGCACAGTTAAGGAAAGAACCATGATGCAATGGGGCAGCAGCAGGTGCACTCTCGCAAACGGCCGCCTGTCTCTACCTCCTGGAGGGCGGGACAGGGGAGTTAGCGCAGCAGATGTCAGGGCAGAACGCGCAGAACGCGCAGCGGCGCCTTGCACACAGCTCGCACTCCGGGGACAAGCGCCACCAGGTCAGGCTCTGGGCTCATCCCTTGAAGCTCGGGGCTGGGAAACTGGGTGAGACGCAGACGCCGGGGATGGCATTGCCACACCGCCGCCGCCGTAAGGAACTTCGCCAGGAAGCACAGACAAGAACAGTTACCCTAGCGTGGACTCAGCCTCACGGCCATTCAGCAATTCAGTTGTTTTGAAATGAAACTAAAAGCTGGTGTTGTCTCTGTTTTAAAAGGCCTGCAAGTCTTCCGGTGACACTCGAAGCAGAGGCCATGAGCAGGCGTCTCGGGACCAACTCTAGCGAGGCCCCGTCTGTCACAAGGGCCGGGCCTGTCACTCTGCCCTGCGCTGTGTGTGTGCAAAGCTCCGGGGCCATCTCTCTGATGGGACAGCAGAAAGGGCACGGGCGAGGGCCAGGCCCCGGGGCTGCAGCAGCGCCCTCGTGGGCAGGCAGTACAAGTCCAATAGGCTCTTCACTCCCGCCACATAGCAAAACTACGCTGCCCCTTTCATTAGTATCCAAGTAGCACTGAGAACTTTTGCAAGATCTCTCTTAATGTACCACCAAAACTGTGGTAAATGTTCAGATATTTAGATGAGCACCAAATACTACAAAGTGCAACCGCTAGGGTTCCATTAAAGACTCAACAATGGCTGTCAAGGGCAGCAATGCTATAAATATATGCACATATATTTAATAAAGCAATTCGTACAAAAATCTGGAAATGCCACCGATTCATTTCTGGGCTGCTAAACCTTCTTGCAGCTCGTTCCTGGAGCATTTCTGTGGTGTGCTGTCTCGGAGAATCCTTTCCTAAAATGATTTTTAAAGACCTGCAAAGTTTTTTATTGCATCGGACACTATTCATGACACAGAGACTGCAAACTGCAAATATGTGGCATTGCAACAAGTCTTACAAATATTTTAAGAATTCGTTACACACATTTTTCTTTTTTCTTTTTTTTTTTTTTTTACAGTTTGTCTCTTTAAAAATAAAAAACGGAAGTTACAGCTAAGAGTCAGTCAACTGGGTACAGTGAAGCGCTGTAGGAATGTTAGGGTCAGGGCACAGAGGAATGACACAAAGGGGGAAGCCACAATCTTTGCCGGCTCTGCATGTATCGCCTTCCAAAGCAACTGTGCGCGTGGCGAGGGTCCCGGGTGAGCACCTCCGCTAGTCCGCTTTGGGAGAGCAGAAGTCTTTCAGGGCCTCCAGCTCCTCGATGAGCTTCTTGTTCTGCACCTCCAGCACGGCGACCCGGCTCTCCAGACACTTCACGTACTCTTTCTTCCGACGCCGGCACTCTTTAGCCGCTTCCCTGGAGAGGGGAGAAGCAGAGGGCAGACACAGCGTGTTTGGCACGCGGCCGGCAGACGCGCGGAAGTAGAGCTCGCTAAGCGGGGTCACGCTTGCTTTCCAGAGCTTGAGACCTACGTTCCCAATTCCGGGCCACACACTAAGCCACACGGGGTCGGAAGGGGCCCGCGGGTCCCTCGCGCAAGTCCACACGGCAATCAGCGGAGCTGCTGCGTCTCCTGCCTTGCTCAGAGGTCACGGGAACAAGGTCCACGCCAAAGGCAGTTACTCTGCTTTATGGCAGTAAAAGTCTTTGAGGGCCTTGAGTTCCTCAATGAGGGTCTTGTTTTGGTTTTCAAGCACAGCCACACGGTTTTCAAGACATTTGACATATTCCTTCTTCTTCCTGCGACACTCCCGGGCGGCTTCCCTGGAACCAACACAAGGCAAATGACTACAGGAACGACCCGTCGGCACAGTCCAGATCAGCTCCATCAACTCCGGCCCCCAAACTCAACAGCCAGGCGCTCCTGGCTTGCGTGGAGCCACACAACGAATGCCAGCGAGCTCGTGCCTTCTCGTGAGATTACGTCAGACAACAGGAACAACTCGAGGACGGGATCCACTTAGCCCTCGGTGCAAACGGCGCGTTCTCAGGGCACACATCCCACAGCAACAATGACCAGCACTGTGTCCAGGAACCTCCCACAACAGGACACAGCCCCGAGTGGAATTTCTATAAAAGCGTTTATAGATCCTTTCCGGCTCTCGTAAGTACGCTTGCCTGCCGGGAGCTACGGATTCCATCACAATAGGTTTGTTTTATTGGATCAAAAACAGTCACATGAAGTAAGCCTCAGAAACCTCACACGTCAACACCGGGGATTTTGCAGACTTAAATCTCAGTAGAGCAAGGTCGCTCATGGCTGGGAGGACAGTTTAATTAACACAACACAAATACATTATAACAATAAACAAAACGTGCACATTTTTACAAACCAAAATGAAGTGGATGCTACCTCTGAAAATTAAGGGAGGAAAAAAACGGGGTTACATAATACAACACTCAATCATTCAGACCATGTCAACCCACAAGTGACAGCACCGCACTCTGCATTAGGACAGAGCAGCTGCTGGACGACCCACAGGTCATTTCATAACTGGAGCCTCAGGGCACGCACTTAATACCCCACACACTGCAGTCTTCAGGCACACAAGTATGCCAAAGGAGAGAACGGACTGACAGCCAACGCAACAAACACACGGAAACAGATGGACGAGTTACTAATGTCCATGTACCACCCCACCAAAAAACAGGAAACACAGCCAACATTCTCTCTCCCCTTCTTTCCAGCGTAGGGATGGAAGCTACGGCACTCAAGTCCTCCGTGAAAGATACACTCTGAACACATCTTCATTTTGGACTCATTTTCACAATAACTGCCACTGGGTACATCACTCCCCTTCACAGAAAAAAAACTATCCTGAAACAGACACGATCCCTCGAGTACACTTTAACAAAAGTAGTGTAGAGTTGTCTACATACAGTTACTACAGTGCCCGCGTGCACGGCTGGGATCCCACATTAAGTGTGAGAGTCGGAGGGTGTGGCCGTCGCTGTATTTTTGGGAGAGGTCCCTCTCACTGCGTGGTGGCTGTGTTTTCACTATGGGAAGCAGGAGTCAGCACTAAGGAAACCCTGAAATCCCAACAAATGGCAGGAAAAGACCAACCCCTACACCCTAGTCAGGAGTAACACGCTCACCCCAGGAACTCATACGGTTCTGGACTTCCCAGCTACCTAACAATTTTTTTTTTTTTTTTGGACAGGCAGAGTGGACAGTGAGAGAGAGAGAGACAGAGAGAAAGGTCTTCCTTTTGCCGTTGGTTCACCCTCCAATGGCCGCTGCGGCCGGCGTGCTGCAGCCGGCGCACTGCGCTGATCCGATGGCAGAAGCCAGGTACCTATCCTGATCTCCCATGGGGTACAGGGCCCAAGCACTTGGGCCATCCTCCACTGCACTTCCCGGGCCATAGCAGAGAGCTGGCCTGGAAGAGGGGCAACCGGGACTGAATCCGGCGCCCTGACCGGGACTAGAACCCGGTGTCCTGGCGCCACAAGGCGGAGGATTAGCCTAGTGAGCCGCGGCACCGGCCTTAAATTTTTAAAAAATGTATAAAAGCAAACTGAACTTGATAAGACAGCAATTAATTTTATCAGAATGGTGCAAAGGGAAAAGTTAAGAATAAATCCATTCACATTGGATATTTGCCAGTTTGGGAACATAATTCAGTTTCTCCTACAAAGGAACTAAAAATAATTTCTGAATACCAAGGTTTTCATGATTAAGCATTATATTAACTACCAGATCTAGAAGGAAAGTGCTCATGCTACGAAACAGATCATCATCAAGTGAGAAGTTTAAACACCTAATAGCAGTGCTGTGGGGTGCTTCATATTTAAAATGTTACTACGCAAACTTTTCTGTAAGTGTCGCGGCTGCGGTGCGCGTGTGTGCCTGTTACCAGCGTCAAGATGTCGCCAGCACAAGCTTGGAACTAGATGGCACATTCCCAGCTACGGAAAACACCTGTTTCTTCTATTAATAGTCAGCTCTGTCGGCATGGAGTCACGTCGCAGCTTCCGGAGGAAACTGCAGCTGACACGACTGGGCAGAAATGAACACGGCCGCGGTGGGGTCCAGCCGAGCGGCTGAGCGCCGCCTCCCACGCCGCGGTGGGGTCCAGCCGAGCGGCTGAGCGCCGCCTCCCACGCCGCGGTGGGGTCCAGCCGAGCGGCTGAGCGCCGCCTCCCACGCCGCGGTGGGGTCCAGCCGAGCGGCTGAGATGCCGCCTCCCACGCCGCGGTGGGGTCCAGCCGAGCGGCTGAGCGCCGCCTCCCACGCCGCGGTGGGGTGCAACCCCGCGGCTGAGCGCCGCCTCCCACGCCGCGGTGGGGTCCAGCCCCGCGGCTGAGACACCGCGTCCCACGCCGCGGTTGTAGCCTCTGGGGAGTGAACCAGCAGATGGAAGCTCTCTGGCTCTCTCTCTCTCTTTCTCTCTCTACCTCTGCCTTTCAAATAAATAAATATGGGTTTTTTTTAAAGAAAAGTTGCTGCTACACTGGTAGAAATATAATCCAAAGTCTTTTGTAGATGTTGACGAACAAAAGGAGAAAGGCCTAAGAGACCGCTCACGTGCGTGGCACGGGACGGATTAAAGCCCACGCACTTCCCGTGAAGGTGCGCTTCCAGTCCACGCGGCCGTCTTTTCGAGGCGACCTGGGGTTGGCGCAGTGCGCAGGCTCGGGCGCGCACACTGCTTGGCTGCAGACCCTGGTTCCGTGCAATCCTGAGCCACTTCCTGCTCACCTTCTGTGGGCCGCAGGTGCTCCGCGGTGTGTGTGGGGGGGGGGGGGGTGCCAGCCAGCCTTCTGCCCAGGGGAGGCAGTGCCGGTTACAGCAGCGGCAGAAAGGCTGGCATGCAGGCGCAGACACACCGATGCCAGGCAGCCGCTGTCTCCAGGGCACGGAACGCCATGTGCGTTGTGGTACAGGAGCCCGTGTGAGGATTCCCAAAGCGCCTCACCCCGTGCCACCGAGGAGACTGCTCACTACCCGACTGTGGCCGCTCTGGTCCGCGCTCAGAGGGACAAAGGGCAGAGCTGACCTCAGCCCTGGATCTGAGGGGTGCAGGGGCAAGAGTTTACAGGAAGTAGGTGGTGGTGACCCCGGCAAGCGCAGGACCCCCGGGGCCGGCGTCTGGGACCCTTCACAGCGAGGTGGCGAGGTGACGGGCAGCCCGCGTCTGCACATTCTCCAGGTCGGGTTCACGTGCACCGCTCTCCGCAGCAGCAAACTCACACGCGAGGTAAAGGAAATTCTGTTCAAGTTCGCGTGTTTAAAAAAGCTTCTTGGAAAATGGCATTTTATGATACGCTGTCGCGTAAAAAATAGAATTTCAGCAATATGGCGCAAGAACGTAAGAGAGAAAGTGAGAGCGAGCAGACTGGACGTGCACCTAGCAGGAGTTAGAAGGGATCCTAGGCTGTGACTAGAGGTTAGCAGAGTACCACGCTGGGGAAAAAGCGAAGCTGCATTACAGATACACACAAACCTGGAGCAAGCTTACAGAACGCTTAACTCACATCTCTGTTGCTGATGACTTACTTGACAAAGTAAGTTCCAAAGGCAAAATAAGTATCTCTCATAAACTCCTCCCATCGTATGTCAAGACATAAATTGATTACCTTTTGCACATGGCCCTTGGAAAGCACGCGGCTCAGCCGGAATGGGTTCACAGCGGGCGACACTGACCAGAAGGCCATGGCCATCAGCAGCCCAAACAGTGAGGTTGGAAGAAACAGCTTCGGGGAACATAGCTTGTTTACAGGCCTCACAACCGCACCTTCTGTGGCCTGCAGTGGGTGCTGAGTGGGGTGCGAGGGCCCTGCAGTGGGTGGGTGCTGAGTGGGGTGCGAGGGCCCTGCAGTGGGTGGGTGCTGAGTGGGGTGCGAGGGCCCTGCAGTGGGTGGGTGCTGAGTGGGGTGCGAGGGCCCTGCAGTGGTTGGGTGCTGAGTGGGGTGCGAGGGCCCTGCAGTGGGTGGGTGCTGAGTGGGGTGCGAGGGCCCTGCAGTGGTTGGGTGCTGAGTGGGGTGCGAGGGCCCTGCAGTGGTTGGGTGCTGAGTGGGGTGCAAGGGCCCTGCAGTGGTTGGGTGCTGAGTGGGGTGCGAGGGCCCCCGCGCCGGGTGCTGAGGGGGTGCAAGGGCCCTGCAGTGGGTGCTGAGTGGGGTGCGAGGGCCCTGCAGTGGGTGCTGAGTGGGGTGCGAGGGCCCTGCAGTGGTTGAGTGCTGAGTGGGGTGCGAGGGCCCGCACGTCGGGTGCTGAGTGGGGTGCGAGGGCCCGCGCGTCGGGTGCTGAGTGGGGTGCGAGGGCCCGCGCGCCGGGTGCTGAGGGGGTGCGAGGGCCCGCGCGCCGGGTGCTGAGTGGGGTGCGAGGGCTCACCTGTTCTTCATTAGCCTCAGCTCCCGTTTCCGCGTCGCCTCCTCCGCTAGTTGCTGGGGACTGTGCAGACTTCCTGGCGAGGCGGCCATCACCACTCCCTGGGGCAGGGCGGTCGTGGGGGCTCGGATCTGGTACGTCGGCATGTCACCCGTGGCGGCTGCAACGGAACAGAATATTACGAGCCTCTGTAAGCAGTCCGCAAGTCGGTATTTCATACAAGACACACGCTGACATGTCCCAGGAGGTGATGATGCAGAGGATGAACTGAGGACTGTGGGACCTTAGGCATCAGAGCCCTCCTCCAGCGGGGAAGACAGTGGTAGGAGTACCCAGCTTGCTGCACACGTGTGAGCCAGCCAGCGTCCTGATGCACTCTAGTCAGGCCTGGCTGTTTCTGCGTTTGTGCTTTTCCAGTCAAAGGCTGTTCCACTGCCAGTTCAGTGGTGTGCTGGTGGGTGTCTGGGGTCAGCTCTGGGGGAAGGAGCCACTCTCCGTGGTATTTGGTGACTCCCAGGACTCTCCCTCCCCACACGACCTCACCGAGGGCAGAGCTGGGAGGGGATTTGCAGAGGGCAGCACGGGCAGATGTCCTCACGCCCAGGGCACAGACACAGCAGCTGGAAACGGCTTCAGCGCCAGAGCTGTTTTTGAGTGCACTTTAAGTGTGTGCGTGCGCTGTATAAACGCTGTGTGTGTGGCATGTGCGACGGTTTAATCATGGCTGTATTAACAACCGGCTACCACAGGTGTATGCTATAAACCAGTCCAGCAGAGGGAGCTGGCGCGAGCCCCCCCACAAGGAAATGGTCACTGGGAGGGCGGTCGACCCTCCCAGTCCTCTACTGCGCACCGAGCCTACTCAGGCGCCAGTCCTGTGACCAGAGCCACAGCCAAAGGCAGGGCCCAGCTGCCGGCGTGCGGCCACAACAGGAACAGCACAGCGCCCCCACATGGTGGCTCTGGGGAGCCGGGCTTCTCGGGATAAAGAGACATTTCTAAGTACTCGTTTTTAAAGGGCGTTTTCTAACAACAGAATCATACAGTTAGAAGACAGATGTCAGATGTACTTAGATTTCACAATGAATACTGAGGGTTCTCGAAGGCTCCTAATTCGTATCAGTGCTTTGTCTCTCTACCGCCGTGGCCAGGGCTTCCTGGAAAAGACAGCGGGGCCCCAGTGACGCCACGTGTCTCTGCCACCCACGCTTTAACTTTAAGAACGTTTGGCCCAGAGTTATTTTGGTACTCCACAGAGACATGACGAAGTGCATGGTCTCTCAAAGCAAAATGCAAAAAAAAAAAAAAAAAAAAGGGTCTTAAGGGAAAAAAAGGTACTAAATTCTGTAAAAAGCAGTCTGGACCAAATGCCAGTCCAGAGAGGAATGCAGTTCCTCCGTGATTGTTAAATGCACTGTCTGGCCCTGGAGACGTTTTGCCCTTTCAGCTAGGAGACGATGTCCCTGAGAACAGCCGAGCAGTTTTAGAAAGTTAAATGCAAGGTAACAGACTTAGGGGCGTCCGTGGAGGAAGTGCCGGCTTCTCTCCCTGGGCTTCGGAACTAAACCAAAGAATGGAATTGAAAACATGGCTTGGAGGAGAGATCACTTAAAGGCCTTTGCAGAATGAATAAAAAAAATTACTATTTATAGGGCTGCCTGCCTCTTCCTCTGTGTGTCATTTTTAAAACAATGTTGATACAGAGTGATTAAAGGTCCCCAGCAAAAAACAGAGAAAGAGTGCATTTGTTTTGGTAACTTTTTGAAGTGCGGTCTGCACGCATGTCTCACTGCGCGCTGTAGTGTGGCAGCGCTGAAGAAGAAAACCAGCTGTGAGGGAACTGAGACTATATTTAGAGTCTCAAGCACGCCACCGTCACAGGAAACCAGGCAGAGGGCCCGCCTCCCCGCCTCTCCTCACCCACGTCCAGGGGGCTGCAACAAGGGCGGCACTGGGGGCCGCTGGCTTTCTAAAACGGGAACAATGGCCAGTGACGCCTGAGCAGTGGGCGCGCCCGTGCCGACATTTGCGGGAAGTGCAGGGACGCGGACAGAGAGGTGCAGAGGCGCTGCACCCGCCAGTCAGAGCAGAACGCCTGCGAGACAGGCCAAGGCCAGGCTGAGGGCATCCGTTGTTGGAAAGGGGAGAAAGGGGGCGCTGGGAACACTTCACGGACGAAAAGTGAAGTTCACCCACTGGTTTTGTCTTTACCAGAAACGGCTCGACAGAACATTCTGCCTGGTTCCAAAAGCCCAGGTGCCGGGGCAGGAGCCATCTGGCCAAAAGGCCGATTGATGGCCACGCGAGAGCAGTCGCTCAGAAAGTCGTCACCCTACAGGGACTTGCACAGGGTGGTGGTTTTGGCTGTATTAGTTAGGAGACGTTAGGTGACAAACTGGGCTTTGTTATAATTTTTCAGATATATATTCGCTTGATTTCCTTCTATAAAAATCAAAGATTACAGCTCATGATTTCAAGCCAGAAGTAAGAATTGGTGTAAGTTAGTAGGAAGTAGTAGGAGTTTCTGTCCCAAGGAGTCTGTGTACTTCTCATGGGCACTGGAGAACTTCCAAATACTCAAATATAATCTTGTGATTAAGTACACTAAAAAGATATGGGCAGTGAGAATCTCTGGTTTGGAGGAAGTCTAAATGTCAAAAAGTTTTATTTTTAAAATGAGTTATTTTAAAAAGCGCTTATCTTAGGTTCAGTTTCCAAGAGGATGAACCCAGGATCAGAGAGCCACGCTTCTCCCTGTCCCCTCATAAAAGCCAACCCCTGTCCCATCCAACTGCTCAGGGTTTCCGAGTTTTGTTTTTTAATCCTAAAGTTTCATTTTTGTTTTCATCAATGGGGGCTTAAAAGTTCCCGACTGAAGGGAGACGTGAGAAGAAGCTGTTGACACACCAGTTTTGTTCTCGGGCCAGCACAAGCTCTAAGGCCAGCCGGGGATGCGGCCCCTGTGCCCTGGATGCCCCCTGGATGCCTCCAGGGTCTGGCACAGTGCTGGGTGTGTAGCAGGCGCTGCATGAGGTGATGTGAGCGCCACGAGGCAAAACCTGAACTCCCCAAGGTTTCGCCCCAGCTCGGTCATCCGGGACGCTTGGATGAAGCTTCCAGACTCGTGTGTTCCCGCAGGGTCTTTTCCTAACAGAAGGCTCCGCGTGTCCACCCGCCCCCGGGTGCACTGTGCATGCACATGTCTCCCGTGGCAAGTTCTAATCAGAACACGAAAAAGTTACTTAGGCTTAGTGTGAACCATGTTGTGGAAGGAGATTCCTGGAACCCTCCATTCTGGTTATGAACGTCATACCTCTCTTGGCAAGCGTTAAACACGGCACAGCAGAAAAGCATGGGATTTGGAGCCTGGGTTCTAGTCCAGCTCCGCCACTTACCAGCCATGTGACTTGGGACAAGTTCAGTCTCCTCATCTGAAAAACGGGGATACATTATCTCATTTGGTACTCACAACAAACCCTGTGCTGTGTGTCAGTGTCTAGACAGTGCCTGGCACCTGTCAGCTCCCCTCCTCTCCCCTTCCTCAAGTGCTGAAAGACAGCGTTCCAAACCAAGCTTACATCGGGCTTCGTTAGCAGGCACCGAACACCCACAAACACATCGTCCCCGGGGCCTCCCTTCCCGCACACCGCTTATTCCTTATTGTACAAAAATCAGCCTACTAAAAACCCCTAAACTCTAGAGTACAGTTCTACCCCTGGAGAGAACAAGTTACTGAGTGATAACGTAAGGTGTCCCTTTTCAAAGTGTACCGTCACTTAAAACCTTGAAGGTGGAGAATCACAGATGATCTCAAAATGCACGCTTGTCAGACTGGCCCTACAAAACCCCACGCGCCAGACTAGGAGGCCAAGAGGCACCAGCTCCGGCTGAAGGACCATCCCCGTGCTCCCGAAGTAGAGCCATCCTCAGCACCCCGCAAGCGGTGACTCAGTGCTTTGACTGCTTTTTGGCTTATGAAGATACCTGTGCCGCTGAGCGCGTTACTTGAATAAAAGCATTCTCACATGGTCTTCCTGACTTCCTGCGTCACCTCCCTACGTCCACTGTGGCGGGAGCTCAGAAACCACACGCAGGGGCAGGGGCTTCTCGCCCCCCTCCCCAAGCCGGCCTGCTCCTGAGGCTCCCGGCAGGCGTGGCCAGGCTGCGCCCCCTCCACTGCTGCACTTCCTCCAGGATGTCTAAGCACTCAACACTGCACGCGTGTGACTGCCAGAAACCACGCAGAGGCCGGCGCCGCGGCTCACTAGGCTAATCCTCCGCCTTGCGGCGCTGGCACACCAGGTTCTAGTCCCGGTCGGGGCGCCGGATTCTGTCCCGGTTGCCCCTCTTCCAGGCCAGCTCTCTGCTGTGGCCAGGGAGTGCAGTGGAGGATGGCCCAAGTGCTTGGGCCCTGCACCCCATGGGAGACCAGGAGAAGCACCTGGCCCCTGGCTTCGGATCAGCATGGTGCGCCGGCCATGGCGGCCATTAGAGGGTGAACCAACGGCAAAGGAAGACCTTTCTCTATGTCTCTCTCTCTCTCACTGTCCACTCTGCCTGTCAAAATAAAAAATAAAAAATAAAAAAACCACGCAGAATGAAGTCGCTAAGTGTTGCCGTCAGCTCGACTGAGGTACAGTCGACAGAACCGGTGTGTCCTTGAGGTGCACATGCGCTGCTTCATACACGCATACCCTGGGAAATGACTGCCACAGTCAGGCGGTCAGTCACACGTAAGGGGCCTTCGCAGGTGTTTATTAACGGAACATCCTGTGTTAAAGATAAGAAATTATGAATACTGGAATTAAATGCTCTGGATCGTGGCAAACAGATGCTCTGCATCCTACAAGAATAATAACAAATATTCTAGAAAAAAACCCTCCATTTTGAGTTTTACAAGGATGCTCCATCATTGCATGCATTTTGGAAGCAGTATGTAGCCTCCTGTTGCGATTCCTGTCACAGTCACGCTAAGGACACGGGGTCAAGCGGAGCAGCGATGTGGTATGGCATGAACAGAGCCACAGGCGGGGTCTGACGACCCTGGTTCAGCACCGGTGGGCCCTGTCAGCTCGGGAGAGTCACCTTACCCCGAATCGGTGTTGTCCCACAGAAGGCGGTGTGACTCTATCAGCCCTACGCCACGGATCGCCACTGGCAGCCAGACAGACACTGGAGGCCATTCCGTTAAGTGAAACACACTAGACACAGACAGAGTCCACGGCCTCTCTCGGACGCGCAAGTTTAAGAAAGGCGTCTGAACCTGGGCCAGTGGTCACCAGAGGCTGAGCAGGATGGGGAGACAGGGGACAGGAGTTCAGTGACCCGCAGCAGACACAGGAGGGTGACAGGGCCGACAGAGAAACAAAGGAGAGGCGAACAGCGGGAGACGCTGCCACTGTGTACACGTGGTGACGTGGTGAGACACTACGGCACAGCACCCCTGCGAGTGTGCCAGGCCCGCCCGCTCACCACGACGCTGCCTGCCCTGTGTGTCAGGGAGACCGCGTGCGTGCTGCTCTCTCTAGACGCGACCTCCTGAGCTGGGCCCACCCCGTCCCGTGAGCACTGGCGTCGGCCAGCCCCTCTGCCAGCACGTCATGTGCCTGATAGTGCGGGGAAAGCTGACGTAACGCAGTGGTAACACAGTGGTCTTATCTGGCAGTGTCTTCACTCGGGGAACTAGAACAGGGCCGGGTGAAATCAGCACTCGAGCTGTACTGAAATCTTTTCCAAAACCAGCAGGAAAACAGCTTAACGGCAACTTTCAACTTCACCTTCCACGCCGATTTAGTTTTATTGAAACTGCATGTAGACCAGTGACTTCCGCTTTTTTACTTTCCACACGACTTCACCTTTGCTACCGATTTCAACAAGTTGTCACAAAACCATGCTTCCCCGGGAAAGTTTCTCACTAAGGACCACGGCCGACTGCTTTTCCAGCGGCAGCCCTGCCCTCGTTCCCACGCAGCAACCGTGGGACGCTGTCTCCCGAGGTTGTAGAGTTGTCTGTCCTGAGCGGTTCGGAAAGCTCTCCTGAATACAGCTAACACTCAGAGACGCAACTGAAAGCAAGCTCCTAGCGTAGTCAGCTTAAGAAACAAAATGCCATATTTCTAGTAAGAATTTAAATTATACCCAGTAGAGTCAATAATCTGTAATCCTACCAACTGCAGAGGGTCCCTTCTTATGTTCAAGGCCATGTTCCGTAAGGAAATCCTTCCCAGGCCAGTCATTTGAGTTAGAGCCTGGCTGGGGACTTGAGATCAGTTTTTCAAACTAAGGTGTATACCATTAGTGAGGTCAAAAACTCTAATTTTGTGGGTCAAGAATAGCACTGATGGGGTGAGAACGGACCAGACTTAAACCATGCTTTCCAAGGGACAGTCAAGGTCTGAGAACAGGTGTTCTGCCACTGTCCGGCAGTTTTAAGTTTCAGCATTTAAAAAAAGTTTAAATTGGAAAATGAACTGTTGTATAAACAGTATTTGAAAGAAGAATTAAGAAAACAGCAGCTCTTCCAGGCAGCTTTAGCACTGGCGTGTGCAGGTCACACTTGCTGGGGACACGAAGACCCTGAGGGGCTGGGGGGCTGGCCTGGGGTCGGGTTCTCCAGCTTCAGCTACAGGCTCAGTCCGGGGCCACTGCATACACAGTGTCGCAACCACACACGAGTCACCGAATCCCAGTCTTTCACAATCACTAAGAAAAGTAAACCTCCAGAGAGAACTGCTCATTACCAACCCAATGCCAGAGGCCAGGGAACCAGGACAAAGGCCACCGCTCCCGGACCCAGCCCTGTGCAGGGCCCACCCCTCTCCAGGAGGAGCACCTGGCCACGTGACTGCCTTCAGGGTCCCCCTCCTCAAGCGGACACTTACCGAGAGAGAAAAGCCAGAGCAAGGCTAAGGAGCAAAGCTACTCAGAGTGAGCGACCTTGGAGACAGAGGCAGTGGTGAGCAGAGAGAGGAACTGACTAACCGGCAGCGTGACTGGGGCTGACGTCAACGTGCAGAGGGCTCCGAGTTTAACTCGTCCACGCCCCTGCTGAAACAGGATTCCAGGAAATGTAATGACGTCAGCCCTCGGAACTCAGCTGGCTGGGGAACAGACCATTTGAAACGCGGGAGGAGAGACGGGGCTCGGGCACGCAAACACCCCCCCCCCCCAGGGTTCCTGCTCGGCTCGCAGGGTAACCAAACCCGGAGCTAAATTGTTTTACAATGGGGACAGCATTTACGTTTACCTTGTAGGCACAGTGAGTTTGCAACAGGTTGCAGATGAAATAATCCCTTATCTGCTTATTTCAGTAGTGCAAAATGGTGTGCAGGAAGCGGGGGGGGGGGGGGGGGGAGCGAGCAAGAGCGAGCGAGCGAGCGAGGAGGAGGGAGAGGGAGAGACTGTGCGTGCTGCTTTCCCAGACCACAAGAAAGCAGTCTAATACTGAGCAAAGACGCAACTACACTGAGTCCCCTTCACACGGCGCTCAGCAGAGAGATCTGTAAACGGAAACTTCTCACTCCTGACGAGGAAATTCACACTTCTTCAAACACTCTCTAAACTTCCGAGAAAACTCTGCCGGGTTCATTGCACGCCCCCTGGTCAAAGCCTTACCTGTCTCTTCTCCGGTCACAGCCATGACGGGCTTCTGCATCCAGAGCCGCCCTGTGTCCCCTCTCACAGGGCCACAGAAAGTGTTCCACACCAGCAGGCATGTGCGGGATAAGGAGGAGTGCTGACATCACTGTGACGTCACTGCCTATCATTGCCATCAGTTGGCTTTGTCACAGGCGAGCTCTCCGAAACCAAAGCCCTGTAAAACCCTTCCTGTAATAAACCATCTGAACGGTCTTGTTTCTTTCACATAAAAAAAAAAAAAATCTGGAGACAGGCTCTAGCAAAAACGCCTCCCTAGCATTAAATGCCGCACCGTTCTCATGGGGCTACTTCTTTGCGATCTTGACGTCCACAGTTTCTAGGCAGACACCAGGGAACGCACCCTGTGTATTTTTTGTAACAAACAGGAGATTAGGGTGATACATGGGGGTTTGATCTCTGACAATCAGCACAGAAATACTGCATTTGACAGACAGATGCTTCCAAACCCACCACGTAAGAAACACCCAGCCACCTTTGTTCACCTCACATACTTTTATTTGCTGAACACTTTGTTCAACATCGTAAAGCCAACTGTTCTAGGGAGGCAGAACTAATTCCACTTGAAAGGAGCGGATACTGAGAGGGCCAAACCCCACGCCACTGTAGCTCGCATCCCCCCGCCGACTGTGGACTCTGGGCCCACAGAAGCGGCCGTTACGTGGGGTCCCCTAAGACATTATCCGCCATGATAAAAGCCCCTTGAAGAGTGCTGTGACTGTTGAACTTCACACATCAATCACAATCACTATTCAAAAACTTCTAAAAACACGTCATTGCAGTTGTCTCGTTGAACAAAGATCCAGCACATGAAGAGCGGAATCGTGACGGCAAGCAGGACGGAAGCCGGTCAGACATGGCTGTGGAGGAGGCCACGGCCTGGGAAAAGAGGATGTCCGTCTACTGCACTACAGCAGTGACCTGCCGCCCGGCCTGCGGCTGCACGATGCCCCGCACGGCGGGCACGCAGCCTCGGACAGCCCCGCACATCTGGCTCACTCCATGAAGCAGCTTCCCGGGGAAGGAAGCAGGGACTTTAGTCAGCGCCTCGGAGGGGAGCGGTCAGTGTTCCCGCCCATTCTGAGGCCCCTGCAGAGCGTCCACCCCCGTCAGGGGACCTCACCAGGGACGCTCTGCTGTCCCAGTCACGCCTCAGGGTGTGAGCCCGAGAGCACGTCAGTACATTTTGTTTCAAATTGCATTTTTTAAAGGGAACTTTCATTAATTTATTTACTTGAAAGGTAGACAGACAGAAATCTCCTATCCACTAGTTCATTCCCCAAATATACTCAAGGGCCCGGTCCGGGACAGGCCAAGGCCCAGAGGTGGGAACTCCATCTGGGACTCCTGTGTGGGTGGCCACTACCTGCCATCTCCCAGGGTGCACCTCAACAGGAAGCTGGAATTAGCAGAGCCGCTGGGACAGACTCCAGGCGCTCCGATGTGGAGTGTGGGCGTTCCCACTGGTGGCTTAACTGCTAGGCCACACACTCACCCCTTAAACTTGATGTTGTTTATTGTTTATCTCAGTGTTTCTTTAAATTGGCAAAAGGACCTGCTCAATAAATATTAGTGTAAAAAAGAGGGCAGAAGAAGCCAAGGGTGGAAGGAAGTGGGTCGCTTAACCCGTTGACTACCGCTCTCAGTGGGTTTCATATATTCCCTGGACTAGCCGGACTCAGTGGACGGGGAGCAGAGCCGACGTCTTCACAGAGTGCAGTGCACCTCCCTCCAGAAGCCGCTAAGGATCCTGGTCCACTTAGAAGTTGGCGCCCAGGCAGGACACAGAGCCCGAGAACCGCGGCACTCGTGACGAGGCACCTCCTGGAGGTGTCTGAGGCAGATCCAGAGGATCACGGAAGGCTTCCTGGAGGGAGGGCCCTCTAAGCCCAGACTTGAGCAACGCGTACCATGCGGGAAAGTGCTCTCCTAGGGACGGAGCGGGGCCTGGTAAGGAGAGAAAGCATAGCCGACCAAGGCAAGGAAGACGCAGCTGCCATCCGAGAGGGGAGGAGACCAGGTCAGGCCAAGGTTGGAAGCGCAGGACGGGCTGCGGGCTTTTGTCTCCCAGCCTCCAAAGCAGTGGCATCAGGAGGCGGCCTCGGCTGCTGGCCTCCAGGAGCTGCCGAGGCCTTGAGGGGGGAGCCCTCAGGAAGGGGATCCACGCTTCCTAAGGCAGGCCCCAGAGAGCCCCTGCCCCTTCCAGCTAGTGGGAAACGGGGGGGGGGGCAGTATGAATCAGGAAGTGAGTCCTCGGCAGACCCTCACCCGCAGGTCCCTGCTCGTGGACCGAGGTCTGCCGTGAAGACCCGCCAACTCGGGACGTGGCAGGCACAGCCCACGTGGGGCAGATGGCAGGCGACAAGGACAGGAGGGCAAGGACAGTGGGGTGGGGAGGAGCGGAGGACGTGTGGATGAGCCGGGGGAAGAGCCTACGGAGTGGCTTTGGGTGGACACCAGGGTTCCAATTAAGGAGGACGAACTGCCCGTCACTGAGACAGAGACAACAAGAGGATCGGGGTGGGGGGTTAAAACTGGAGGTCCAGGTTTGGAGTCAGGAGACAGTGTGGGACATCGACATCTACAGAGTTGGAAGCCGTGGGGGATGGGTGCTCGGATCAAAGGGAGAGGGGCCCTAACGCTAGGAAACGGGCAGAGGGAGATAAGGCCAGCAAAGCAGCCACGGCGGTGGGGTTGGGGGGGGGGGCAGGAAACAGGAGAATGCGGTGCCTCTGAGAAGGAGGAAGCCGAGTCAGCAACGCTGCCCCACGCGGAAGGACCAACCAGGAGCAGGACTGGGATTCCGACAGAGGCCGGCGGCCTGTCAGGGCGCTGCAGGCCGGAAGGTGGGCAGGGAGAGCAGCCCGGGAGGCGCAGGGAGACCCGACAAGAATGCCCAATGACGCCGCTGGACTTCACACGGAACCAGGGCTCCTGGAGGAAAGAGAAAACAGGAAAGAAAGAAGAAGAGGGAAAATGAGGACGAAAGAGAGGGAGAAATACGCACCATGAGCTGTGCATGGTATAAACAAACACGTGGCATCGCACAGTAATTCATCATCAGCATAGTCTCAGGAGTAGAGGTGAGCAGGCTCCTGAGAAGACGAGCTTACAAAAACACGACTGGAAAATGTACCAGGAAAAAGTGCATTCACAACAGTACCCACAACCAGGAAGCACCTAGAAATCAACCGGGCAAGAATAGGTGAGGTTCCGAAGAGAAAATATCTAAGCTGCTAACAGTAAAACGGGATCTGCATAAATGAGACATTCTATGGTTTGGGCTAGGTCAATTTAATAATACTACAAAGACTTCAGTTCTCCCTAAGTCAGCCCATAGATTAAATGCAATCTCATCTTTGGTTTTATTCTTCTCCTCTTCTTCCTCTTCTTCTTCTTCTTGCCACTACCACTTGGAAGCTAAAAATCTATTCTAAACGCACATGGGAGAATTATGGTTCACAAATGACTGAGCACTAAGAAGCGACAACAAACCAAAAAGACCAAGAAGGGGACCCGGTTCTGTGAGAGTCAGCATAGGGCTGATGCGCAGGAGAGGCGCAGCTCGGAAGAGAGTTCTGACACAGATCCAAGGCACATGAGAACCTGCACACATATGTCATGAGAAAGGACATACAGAGAAGTCAAAACCGGACCCCACCGGGCACCGTCTCCAGAGGTGCCTCCCAGATGCATGTAAGAAATACAAACAAGACACAGCACTCCGCTGTAAGATTACTCAGTTAGACACGCAGCGCTCACGAGCATGGGTGGAACACAGCAGGTGGCTTTAATCGCACATTTAGAAGGAAACACTGAAGTGCTGCATAAGTGCTGAGTGTCCTACGTAAACGGCGTTGTCACAGTAAGCCCCAGAACGCCCAGGAGTAGAGCTAATTGTCAAGGGATTCATCGGTCATAATCTGTTCACCCACATTTGTGAGACTTTTAAACTAAAAGGGCTGTTACTGCTTCCCTTAAGTAAGTGGACCGAGAGACTTCCAACTCAGCCTTTGAAAGCTGTATTCAACACATTTGTTCGCATTATCACAGGGACAACTAAACTGCATTGAAACCTTAGGTAAGCTTTTAGGGCGGCATTCCAACTGTTCATTTCACTACTGTTAGAGCTAGAAGGGGCACCCTCAGAACCAAAGTACACTTAGCATAGCCCAAAAATAAGCAACTGTTTTGAAATGAGTTGTCTAGAAATTAGAGTTGAATTAACAGCTAGGGGAAAACCCAAATTCAAGGCATCATGGGCTGAAAACTTAAATCCTTACAAAACAGGCAACAGAAATCTACTAGGTCGGCACTGTGACCCCCAAATGCAGGATATTTACATAATTGAAATACTCACCCCTTTTCAACTCCCCTTTTCTACCATGCTACTCTGAACTGAGCTTTTCCTATGAGCAGTAAAACCTGCTTAAAAAATCCCGGCCGAGGCTGGTGTTGGCCTTGTGGCTGACGCTGCAGACCCTGCAGGAGGGCCCGGGCTCCGCTGCTCCCGACCCCAGCTCCTGCCGCTGCAGACCCTGCAGGAGGGCCCGGGCTCCGCTGCTCCCGACCCCAGCTCCTGCCACTGCATTCCCTGCAGGAGTGCCCGGGCTCCACTCCCGACCCCAGCTCCTGCCGCTGCAGACCCTGCAGGAGGGCCCGGGCTCCGCTCCCGACCCCAGCTCCTGCCGCTGCATTCCCTGCAGGAGGGCCCGGGCTCCGCTCCCGACCCCAGCTCCTGCCGCTGCAGACCCTGCAGGAATGCCCTGGGCTCCGCTCCCGACCCCAGCTCCTGCCACTGCATTCCCTGCAGGAGGGCCCGGGCTCCGCTCCTGACCCCAGCTCCTGCCGCTGCATTCCCTGCAGGAGTGCCCGGGCTCCACTGCTCCCGACCCCAGCTCCTGCCGCTGCATTCCCTGCAGGAGGGCCCGGGCTCCACTGCTCCCGACCCCAGCTCCTGCCGCTGCATTCCCTGCAGGAGGGCCTTGGGCTCCGCTCCCGACCCCAGCTCCTGCCGCTGCATTCCCTGCAGGAGGGCCCGGGCTCCGCTCCCAACCCCAGCTCCTGCCGCTGCATTCCCTGCATGAGTGCCTGGGCTCCGCTGCTCCCGACCCCAGCTCCTGCTGCTGCATTCCCTGCAGGAGTGTCCGGGCTCCGCTCCCGACCCCAGCTCCTGCCGCTGCAGACCCTGCAGGCGGTGCTGCTGGCTGGGACTGGGTTCTCGCCTAAGCTGATTCGCTGGCTCCCAGCTTCGGCCCGGCTGAGACCACCGCAGACGACTGGGAGCCAACCAGCAGCTGGTCGTGCCCTCTCTCACACACACAGACACACACACACATGCTTCCTGCCTCGCAAAATAAAAAATAAATGAATAATAAAATGAAGATCAGACCATTTATTTGACTTGCTTAATGGACTAAAATATTTCTTTAAGCCTTTTTAAGTGACCCCCACCCCACTCCCCTGCCAAAAATCTACCTCCTGTATGTTTCAGCAAAGCATAAAATCACTACTACATGGTGTGCAATAGTAATGCATAGGTATTCTAATTGTACGAGAGTAATAAAATATACCTTGAACAACAACCTGGCTGCCTGGGACAAAGAACTGCTGTGTGCCATCGGCCGACTGTGCTGCGTACTGTACAATTGTAGCACCTGGTGGAGGAGCTGCTGAATTTGTCATTGTTAGTGCCTGTAGTCCCTGAACACCATCAGATCCTGGGTTAGAAATCTGGATTGCTCCACCTTGGGCTATAGCAACTTAACAGAAAAAGAAAAGACATATTAGAGAATTTCAAGATTAATTTCTGATAATCCCACACTGGCGGAATACACTCTGGGTCTGCTTGTCACCACTGTTTCTCACTCTCAAGTCACCCTGATCGCTCTATGCTGAACTGACAAGGGACATGGGCTTTGGTGGGGGACAATACCCTGCACACAGGAAAGACTAGCATTCTACATTCAGGACTTCCTGAAACCCATGGAGCCCACAGGCTTCCTTGTCCCTGGCCTCCAACCCACTGAACTGTGTAAGAGAGGAGGAGCAAGCAGGGAGGGGGGTCCTACTTCTTCGCTTACTCCATTCTCTCAGAAATGTAAAATGTTAACTTGGAGGGTATCTTAAAAGGTAACTCTACTCAACATTTTTGTTGTATAATATTTACCAAGTGCCTTTAATAATTACAGCTAATGTTCTCTAAATACTAGAATTTCCCAGTCATGTTGAAAAGTTAACGTGTTAACCTAGAGTTTCAAAAGAATAATTGAGCAAGTATTTTAAAATTTCACTCTAATAGATAATTAAGTCCTGTTTAACACATCAGAAAGTCTGTATAACATAAATATTACAACTGTGAATTTTAAACAGCAGAGATTCTGGGGAACCAAAGGCTCCTTTTAAAAAACTGCACATAAACTAGCCAGTTTTACAATGAAGATGTAAACACCACACGGTCAGAGTCACACAGAGTGCGATGCAAATGCCTTATAGAAAGGCTGGTGTTTCAAACACGCTCTGAGTATCTCCAAGTCCTTCTCAAGCATTTTTAAGGGCAGCTGAGCAAAAGCCCACTGAGGTCCAAAGCCACCAGAACCATGGAAAGACAAACAGCAGAATTTCAGGGCTCTGACTCAGGGGCTCTCGGGCTGAGCCCACATTTACGACAGCGGCACCGGCACAGCCCTGCCGGAAGCGGACGGGCAGAGAGAACACGCCGGGCCTGAGGACCCCGAGGAGCCTGCCACACTGTCTCAGGACAGGACACCTTCAACCACACTCCAGACTGGCCCGGTTTCAGCACGCAGCTTCACAACAGTAGAAGGTCTGGGGACAATCCGTGCAACGTCTTAACAGAGAAGCGTGAGAAAGACAAGAGGTCTTTGCTTCTTGCATCTTCACGCCTCCCCGTGAATGAATCTGATCCGCTGTGCTCTGTGGGGCTGTATTTCCCATGGACACTGGCGTGATGTCACGGAGACAGTGCTTTAGAGAGAACAGCCAAGGACAGCATGAGCACAACGTGCTGGAGACACGCGCACACATGTGCACATGCGCACCCACGTGCAAAAACATGCACACATGCTCACACACGTGCATAAACATGCACACATGTGCACACATACATGTACAAACACGCGCGCTGCAGGTGCACACACGTACACATGTGCATGCACACAAACAAGCACACACGTGCACACACTACACAGATGCATGCACACGCACACATACACACACAAACACGCACACTGCAGGTGCACACACGTACACATGTGCATGCACATGCACAAACAAGCACACACATGTGCACACAGATGCACACTGCAAACATGCACATGTGTAAATTCACGTGTACACACATGTGCACACATACGCACATGCATGCACTCATATGCCCACACGCGCACACATGAATGACAAACATGTACAATGCACACAGATGCATCCACACATTCACACACTGTGCAAACGCACACACGCACACATACACACATGCATGTATGCACACACATGTGTGTACACACAATGAAGAACAAGCATGCACACATGTGCAGTGCACACACGTGCAGTGCACACATGTGCACACATACATGCACACATGCATGCACACATGCATGCACTCACTGCACACTTGCACACACAAAGGACAAACACGTACACACACGCACATGCACACACATGTGCGCACACACAGCTGCTTCAGGGGAAACCTGTGGAGGGTAATCTCACACTTCCGCGTCCCTCTCACTTCTACAGAGGCCTCCTGATGTGGGCGTCGGGCGGCAGGGGACCCTCCCAGTCACAGGGTCCTCTCTGGCTGGACAACAGCAGGACTGCCCAGTGCTTCAGGATCCTGAAAGCGGGCTTTGTGCGTGCCTGCGTGGGGTCCCTGTACCAGGAAATGCAGACCCACCACTTACCTTCAGTACAGATCCCGAAGATGAGAGACCACTCTACTGAGATTCCCAGTAAAATGCAGTGGGAGCAAGCAAACAGACAAGGGACATTTAGAGAGGGAAAAAAATGTGTAGCCTGAGTGACAGTCCTCAAGCGGTAAGGGAAGAGTGGAGGATAAATAAATAATAAACAAACAAACTTTTGTTTTAGGAGACATTGGATACATTAGGAAACCTCGAACATCCAGTCTCCTTAGTCGCTTCTCCCGCGCTTTTCTGAACTCCCTAACTGAGCGGGTGTGCACATGGCTCCCGCAGCAGTAACACTTGTATCTGGGACTGCTGTGTGCCGCGGCAGGGCGGCTTCTCTCTGGCCAGAACCGGTGAGCCGCTGTGCTGCGGGTGCAGCTGCAGGGATGAATGCCCGCCCATTCCCAGCTAATGCCAAGCCCTGGTCTATTTTTCCTACCCTGGTCCACTTTTCCCTTTCAGTTTTTGAGACAAGAAGTACGTTGAAAAAAGAAGGCCAACTTCCGTCAAATATCTGTCGACCATTAGAATCATAAGTGGGTGGGCTGGCGTGGTGGGGCAGCTGGTTAAGTGCCACCCACAATGCCTGCAGCCCACGGGGGCACCAGTTCAAGCCCCAGCGGCTCCACTCTGATCCAGCTCCTTGCCAACGCGCCTGGGAGGGCAGCAGAGGAAGGCCAGAGTGCTCAAGTCCCTGCCACCCATGTGGGAGACCCACATGGAATTCCAGGCTCCCGGCTGTGGCCTGGCCCAGCCCTAGCTGTTGTGGTCATCTGGGCAGTGAACGGGCGGATGTAAGATCTCTCTCTTCCTGTATCTCCCTCCCTTTGTAACTTTGCCTTTCACATAAATAAATAAATCTTTAAAATAAATAAGTAAATAAATAAAGATATTTATGGGGAAAACCTGAGTACACTTAACTTTTATTTTATTCAACTTTTTGTTTGCTTTTAACACCAGCTAAACTCATTTTACCAAATTAAAAATAAGTAATAAAATACATTTGAAAAGGGCGACAAAAGCTAAGGCTGAAGGGAAGACACCCATGCATAAAAGTTGAAAAAATAAACCTAAACAATTTTTTATAAAAAAATTATAAAAATGTCTCCAACAAACCCACAAAAATATACAGAAGTTTTAGTATAAAACAAGCTCCTGGATTCTGACAAGGAAAGGATACCACACTTTTTTCTGTTTCTAGAGGTGTAGCTAGTAAAACCTGGTATTATTCCTAATAAGAAACAGGACTGATAGGATGGCTCTTGCATGTAAGTAAATGCACCTTTAAGCTCCAATTACAGTACATTCTTCCAACAAATCCACATGTTAGTAACCACTTTTTGCATGAAACAAATACATAAACAAATACACCAAATCCTGAAAAATGCATTTTTAACAGAGGCACTGTTGCTTTAGATGAATGGCCACTTTTACCTGCACACTGGGTACACAGAACCACCACGATTTCTCACTGCAACAGTTTCCAGGATCATACTCCACTGGCCCAAACGGCGAATCCTAAGTCAGAGAGTCCTGGACCGCCAGGTCCCAAAGAGAGGAATGTCTGGTTTCTAAGCGAGCAGTTCGCCAGCTCTCAGCCGGAACACCTGCCTCTCTTCCCCCAGCCACCGGGCCCCCTCAGCGGGAGGGGGAGAGGCTGGGCCCAGCTGGGTGAGCGGGTACGAGACGGCCACACTCACCTTACACTTCTCCTTTCCTGGCTTCTCCCCTACGTTCCCCTTCTCTCCTTCTGTCTTCACGCCAACCTCACAGCTTGGCAGCTCAGTATTCCTCGCCTTTCCAAGACAGAAACGTGACTTTGGAAAATAAACCTCTTTGCTCTGATCACCGATCTAGCAAACGGCAGGAACGGGGTGCCCTCCCCACGCTGTCTCCGGCTTCGCCATTCTCTGAACCTCCTACGTTTTCACGATTACTTGAGACTTTACGCATCCATGTCCCGATCCCGGGATCATCCTCTCTGGGAACTCCTAAGCGGCACTAGGGAGCGTCAAGGAAGTGAGACGACACATCTGCGATGGCCCCTCAAGCCTAAGAAGTCTTCGCACGATTTCAGCAGGAATTTGCACCTCTACCGGTCATGCCACCGTCGAGAATGGGCGTCTCCTACTTGAACAGCCGCTGCAGTAACTGAAGGAAACTTCTCCAAGGCAGAGCTGGGGTGGTCAGGAGAGCCTGCCCACCTGTGTCCCTGGGGTCCTAGAGGCTGGGCACTCGGCATCCAGCAGCCAGCGGACCCAGATCCGCAGTTCCGGCATCTTACCACATATGCCCCGTGGGCCAGACCAAAGCACATGACCAGACCAGACAGAAAGAAGTCGCAGGGAAACCCTCAAGGTCGAATTCTTACAGACAGTAGAGAGAATTCTTTGTCTGATTTTGGACACGTCCACTCAAGAGTCCAGAAGAGGTGGGGAATAGATTATACCACTTATAGCAGGTGTCCGGGTAGGAGCTAGCCAGAACTACAAAGGAGAGTGAGTGCAATCATCTGATACTGCCAATCTACCTCCACTACGAGAAAAGCCTAAAAAAACTCCAAAAAGTTAATGACCATATAAGGCCTTCCCACACATGAAACATCATAACTCATTTTAACAGCCATATCTTACATTACGACTTGAGGTTTTTTCTTAGATATTACTACTTTTTGAAGGGAAGCATATCTACAATCCTAACACCATATTGACACACACAGTACTGAATACTGCACGTACTCAGAACCTAAGTAGCTTTTTTCTTGTCCTTTTTCTTTCTAGCTAGCTCTCGTTTTTACTATGTTTATGTGTCAAACGTTCTTAATCTGGAAAAAAGAAAAACTAGTGCTCTAATTAGAGCAAAAAGCACAGGATTCATAGTCCAGTAAGATGCACACCACTAAATGTGAATTTATCTGTTTATTTACAGCTTTCAGTGCGTAAAATTTCAAATAAAATTATCTATCCAACTGCGAGAGCTTGCGACTGTTCCATTCTCTGCAAGAAAACCTGGAGCACAAGTGAACAGCAGAGAGCAGTGAAACAATTCATTACACACGATGCAGACACAAAGGTATCGTTGGGGTTCAAGTATAATGTCAGTAACTGGGCAACAGAGCCAACAAGAGGGAAATACAGACACGTATGTTGGCATGCATCATAAAGACAACAAACAACAGTACGTTTTACCTTTACGAGAAATGGATATAAACATAATTAGGAAAATCCTCCCTTGATTATGTACCCCAAATTTTCTTCTATATTCAAGCAATAGATATTTTACTTTTCAAAAGAATATGACAGCTGTAAGTACAAATCTTTCAATTTGTTAACATGTACTTTGCATTTACTGATACACGGTTTAGGTACTAACAACCTATTTCAAAATGGAACAATATAATACCATAAGCTGAGCTGTGTGTATGTCACCAGGGAGGACTGAGAACTAGCACTGTGTCAGGAATGCAGCGTGTGTGTCACAGGGAGGACTGAGAACTAGCACTGTCACAGGAATGCAGCGTGTGTGTCACCAGGGAGGACTGAGAACTAGCACTGGGTCACAGGAATGCAGCATATGTGTCACCAGAGAGGACTGAGAGCCAGCACTGTGTCAGGAATGCAGCGTGTGTGTCACCAGGGAGGACTGAGAGCCAGCACTGTGTCACAGGAATGCAGCGTGTGTGTTACCAGAGAGGACTGAGAGCCAGCACTGTGTCACAGGAATGCAGCGTGTGTGTCACCAGGGAGCACTGAGTGCTAGCACTGTGTCACAAGAATGCACCATGTGTGTCACCAGGGAGCACTGAGTGCTAGCACTGTGTCACAGGAATGCAGCATGTGTGTCACCAGGGAGGACTGAGAGCAGCACTGTGTCACAGGAATGCAGCGTGTATGTGACCAGGGAGGACTGAGAGCAGCACTGTGTCAGGAATGCAGTGTGTATGTGACCAGGGAGGACTGAGAGCAGCACTGTGTCAGGAATGCAGCGTGTGTGTCACCAGGGAGGACTGAGAGCAGCACTGTGTCAGGAATGCAGTGTGTATGTGACCAGGGAGGACTGAGAGCCAGCACTGTGTCACAGGAATGCAGCGTGTGTGTCACCAGGGAGGACAGAGAGCCAGCACTGTGTCAGGAATGCAGCGTGTGTGTCACCAGAGAGCACTGAGAGCCAGCACTGTGTCAGGAATGTAGCGTGTGTGTCACCAGAGAGGACTGAGAGCAGCACTGTGTCAGGAATGCAGCATGTGTGTCACCAGGGAGGACTGAGAGCAAATGTGTCACAAGAATGCAGCATGTGTGTCACCAGGGAGGACTGAGAGCAGCACTGTGTCAGGAATGCAGTGTGCATGTCACAGGGAGGACTGAGAACCAGTACTGTGTCAGGAATGCAGCGTGTGTGTCACCAGAGAGGACTGAGAGCAGCACTGTGTCAGGAATGCAGCATGTGTGTCACAGGGAGCACTGAGAGCCAACTGTGTCAGGAATGCAGCGTGCCTGTCACGGGGAGGACTGAGAGCAGCACTGTCAGAGGAACTCAGCATACATACTGTATTGCCCCGTGCTAGTCTGATATATGCTAGTCGGCACTGCCATGGTAGCGATGGTAGGCGGTGTTCCTTCTCTCTCGGACTTTTCTTCTTCAATCGTGGGAATAGCAGGCACATCAGAGGAAAGTTCATTCAGGATTTTTCTAAAACACAGTGTAACGACACAGTAAGTAGATGCACGAAGGAGACGCACTACATCTATCAAGGAAGGATGTTCTGGCGTATGATTATTCTACCATTTTGGAAGAAGTAGGATTACGGCAGGAAATGGAGGTCACTCACCTATAAGAGGGTCTTCGTGAAAGAATTTCTCTACGTTTATGAGAATCAATTATGCCTTCTGATTCTGCAGACTCATCTGTCTCTGCAATTGTTGCTACCTATAATATAAGAGTTTCTGAAATGCATCATAAAAAATGTGTGATTTTCTCCCTCATTCAAAGAACGGTGCTTAGGGATCTCTGTGTGGGGCACAGAGCGGAAGAACACGGTGAGCCCACGCTGACAAGGTTCACGCGCGCTAGGGAGGGCCGCACGGACAGACGCCGTAGCTGTGAACTGAGCTGTGGCACGCAGTGGCAGGGATGACGGCTCCTCAGGAACGCACGGGGAAGATGGTCCCTGCATCAAGGGAGCTTCGCAGGGACGCACAGAGACATGCGCTCCTTGCAGTCCAGCAGGAAGTGAGCCAGCCAGCGACAGGGCAGAAGAGCACGCCCCAGTCTCTCCGCTCTCCTCACAGTACCACCACTGACTTCAGCCGGGTCTTCAAATTAGGGATTAGGCCCCCAAAGCATTTAAGGAGATAGGTTAGGGTGTACAGTACAAGAAGTAGGTGAGGTGAGGCTTGATGGAGTCTCTCCTTCAAGAAGGTAAGGGTCTGACTTCCTCTCTCAAGTCAAGTACCAATGTCACACTCTGACCATCTTGGAAATCAGAAGACCACAGGCATGAACCTCCATAGCCCATGACTGCCATCAGCACATCTGGTCTACCTTAGTGCAGCTTACTCGGAGGGCCCAGGGTAGCTGAATTCAGAAAACTCACTTTTCTCAGTATTACAATTATGTGGGAATGTGATTTGGGAAAATCAGAAGAATTATCAACAGTGCAAGCAAGAATATAAACTTCCCTAAAGCTCCTGGCTGTATACCCATGCCTCTCTTGTGACGCACACTCCACACATAAACACGTGGAAGCCAACGAGCAGAGCTTACCGAAGACAAGCCTTGCTGCGTTAGACAACACGATCACCACTAAACACTGAACTCCGTACACTGGACTCGCCACACGCGTCACAATTGGAACCGCTGCACGAGGCAGGCTACTCTACCCATTTTAGAAAGGCGAACCCAGAGGCTCAACAGTTACGAACACCGAGACGAGATTCACTAATGCTGATTTCTGCAAAGGCAATCAGATTATTCAAATAACAATTTTTATTAAAATCTACTAAATATACTTTCTCCCAAATACTTTCTTCCAAAAAACCACCCAGCTTCAAACTAAACAGAGAGAGATAGACATCAGCGTCCCAGTGAAAGTCGTAATACAAAAAAAGCAGGTTAGGAAGACTTGTTTTCTAATTTTAGTCCCGAGGAGACTCAGAATTAATGGTCAGCACAGAAACCAAGAATGACGAGAATCACTCCTAGACTTCTGAGTGACACGGCGAGCTCTGAGCGCCCACGGACGGCCCGTCCCTCGTCTGTCCTGTGACGGGCGGTCCTCTAACACACAGGGCAGGGGCAGGAGGAGTGCGTGCACCTGCAGTCCCCTCACACATGGGTTTTTTGGTCACCACTTCAGTTCAAATGGTCAGAGCAATAAACTGACCCCCAAAAAAGGAACCAAAATAAGTTTAGTCAACAAGAAAAAATATGTTAAATACACATGCTTAATAACTTACATCTATTGATGAAAAAAAATGTTGTGCTGTGAAGTCCTCAGGGTTTAGGCCACCCTTGGAATAACCAGTAATAAAACAGCTATGAGTTGCAAGCACAACACTAAGTCCACAAAACCCAGGCTTTCCTCTGATGAACCTAACACTCAGTGACAGGCACGGGCCAGGACGTGCTAGGAGTCACACACACTGCACTTCAACCGGTCGTGCAAACACCATCAAGACCTGACGTTTGCCAGACACCTTCTCCAAAGAACCTGCATGCGTTTCTGGGAGCCCCCGCAGAGCTCTGCACACAGCACTCCCGAGGCAGCAAGACCTGCCCACAGGCAGTGACTCCGGGGTGCACTCGGGGCTGACGACCAACTGCAGCTCCTCCTACATCGAGCCCAGCCATCTAGCAGGACACGTGACACTTCACGCCCGAAAAGAAATCCGCCACATTGCTAATTCAGAAACTTGAGAGTGAAAGCTCACGGTGAAAAATAAGGACCCACGCGTTGACAAAGGAGAAAGGAGGCGGCGGCGGCTCTCGACGCCGCCGGCTAGCACGTGGGCAGGACGCTGACCTGGACGGTGTGTATCTGTGGTGAGTGAGGAGCCGGTGCCTGTGGGGTCGGAATTACTCCCTGGACATGCACAGTCTGGCCCGAAGGTAACTGCACTAGAGTTACGGCCGGAGAGCCTCTTCCGGTGCCTGATCCAGCTACAGAAACCTGCAAGAGTGATCATCGCGGAGGGTTAGAGCTGGGCCTTGTCTGCGGCTTCCTTTCCGAGAAACACGCCTCACTACTGCACCGGCCTCTCGCTGCTCTTCCTGCTTCTGGACGCGGCGACCCAGCGGGGACTTACCATCAGGAGGTGGCTACTGTCCTGGAACAGGCATTCTCTGAGGTAACAGATGTTAAAGAACCCATGCTCCTCGCTTTCGGTGCCCGTGCGTCAGTGGCTAAGAATGTTCCGAGCGCAGAGTTCTAAAGCAGTTAAACTACCTCACTACGACCTCGTGACTGCCAGCAGTGACGGCACAGCTCGTCTAGGCCAAGGCACAGCTACCCTCTCTCACTTCAGAGAAACGGGGGCTGGAACTAAGAACCAGTGGATTATCTTGCAATAAACGTAATGTTCCACACATGCCGTTCTAGCATTACGCTCGGTACCAGTGTACAGTAAGCATAGCAATTTTTATGCCCCCATAATCACAAAAAAGGCACAGGCCAAAGAAATCCAAGCCCTCCACGTCCTCTGTGTCTCCGGCCCAGAGGAAGCTCCTGTCTGGGAGCCGAGGTGGTCCCCGACTCGCTCCCCTCCAGGGCAGCATGCAGAGAGCCCAGAAGCGCGGCCCGGCTGGCACAGAGGAGCGAGTCAGTTCCCAGCTCCTCGGTGCCTTCCAGCGAGGTCTAGCCCTACCAGCCCCATGCCAGGAATGCCTCCCCTTAGTCACCAAGCCTGCCACACCTTCTAAGTGCTAGACAACGCTGCCCTGTGGGCTTGTGTCATTTTAGGAACTTTGCTCAATGTCACTAAGATTGCTATTCATTACGACTTACTCAAAGCAGTCGAAGACCAGTTCTGAAAGCCAGTTTCTATTCTGAGCGGCAGGAGAACCACACAATCCAACAGTTAGGAACGCTTGTGTGTGTGACCTCACGTGGAGGAACACCAGTGATTTCCAATCTACCTATACCAATACTTTGAGACAGAATTATCCAAAAGCTGAGTTAGGAAAACTATAGGCTGATTTACATCATCTTTCCCAGGCAATCCAAAAATTAAAAATCTTCTATCCATGCAAGAGGACCGTGTGGCCATCACGCTAGGCACACTAGGGCAGAATCAGTGAAGCTGACCCTAAGAAACAGCGGCTCACCAACAGCTATAGAACCAACTGCTCCACTTCCAGGCCAGGGATGGCACAGCAGCACGGAGCAGAGACCGCAGCGTGGGCCTGAGCCGCAGGCAAGGACTTGTGCACAGAATCAGAGCTTGAGCCAGCTGGATCTGAGCCAAAACTACGTCAGGGGGAAACCGCAGCACAGATAACCAATGTGCAGCCCAACGCACAAGCTCAGCTCACCCGCCGCTCTAACTGTCCCCCTCGGATCACAAGGGGACAGGAAAGGATCGTCCCATACAGAACCAGCAGGTTTAACAACCAAAATACTACAATTAAAAAGAATGGACCCGGGCTGGTGCTGTGGCGCAGCAGGTTACACACACGCCTGCGAAAGCAGCAGAAGATGGCCCAAGTGCTCGGGCCCCTGCACCCACGTGGGAGACTAGAAGAAGCTCCTGGCTCCTGGCTTCGGATCAGCCCAACTCCTGGCCATCTGGGGAGTGAACCAGTGGATGGGAGACCTGTCTCTGTCTCTCCCTCTCTCTGTCTATAACTCCGCCTCTCAAGTAAATAAATAAATCTTTAAAAAAAAAAAATTGTACCTATTCTACAAATGTTCCCAGCACAAAAGGCAACTTTGAATTTCACAAAGGCACTCAGCCCTAGGCTGACAAATTACCAAAAGATCTCTCTCCATGCGACTGATCCTCACACGTTGTCGTCTCAGGACACCTTAAAGCCCTTTAAAACATTACTGAAGACAGTGCTTAGATGGTTTCCATCAAGTACAGATACACATTTAATAACCAGATCTTGGGAAGAGAAGTGTAGCTTCTGCTGGTTTCTGGTATAAATACGTAGTTCTTCAAAAAGTTCGTGGAAAATAAGTATTGAAAAAATCACACAGTAATTTCAAATTTTTTGCACCAAAGTAAACATATTTTAGCTCGTTTTTCCACAAGCCTTTGTAAGCACCGACGTCCTCCTCCTATGGCTGATCTGAAGCTTCCGGACACACCGTTGGGAAAACACCGATACAGCTGCCTCTCCTAAGTTAGCAGGAGCAGCCTCGGCACCTCACTGGCCCTCCCTACTGATATCCACCATACTAGAAATTAAAACCGGACAACTTTCAAATACTTGGTTATTACTTAGAAATAATACTATTCAGGGCCAGCGTTGCGGCACAGCAGGTAAAGCTGCCACGCGCAACACCAACATTCCATAAGGGCGCTGGTTAACGTCCTGCCTGCTCCACTTACAATCCTGCCCTCTGCTAATGGCCTGGGAAAGCAGCAGAAGATGGCCACAGTGCTTGGAACACTGCCACCCACATGGGAGACCTGGAAGAAGCTCCCAGCTTCGACCTGGCCCAACACTGGCCATTGTAGCCACCTGGGAAGTGAACCAGCAGATGGAAGATTTATCTGTCTTTTTTTTTTTATTATTATTTTTTATTTTTTGACAGGCAGAGTGGACAGTGAGAGAGAGAGACAGAGAGAGAAAGGTCTTCCTTTGCCGTTGGATCACCCTCCAATGGCCACCGCTGCAGCCGGCGCACCGCGCTGATCCGATGGCAGGAGCCAGGATCCAGGTGCTTTTCCTGGTCTCCCATGGGGTGCAGGGCCCAAGCACCTGGGCCATCCTCCACTGCACTCCCTGGCCACAACAGAGAGCTGGCCTGGAAGAGGGGCAACCGGGACAGAATCCGGCGCCCCAACCGGGACTAGAACCCGGTGTGCCGGCGCCGCAAGGTGGAGGATTAGCCTATTGAGCCACGGCGCCGGCTTAGATTTATCTGTCTATGCCTCTCTCTCTATAATTCCGACTTTCAAAATAAATAAACCTTTTAAGAAATAATGCTCATAAGTCCATTATATATGTAAAAAACACTTTATGAAAAAATGTTTTCCAAAACAAAAAATATTTAATGAGAAAAGTGGCACTATTTTACATTCTTTTTTAAAGATTTATTTGTTTATTAGAACAGGGAAGAGTATAATGGCTTTTTCAAAAACACATGGATATTCTTCTTGGTACTTAATTGTTTGCAAGGCAGAGAGAGGGAGACAGAATATTAGAATATGAATGGATCTCTCGCATCCATCTGCTAGTTCACTTTCCAAATGCCCATAAGAGCTGGGACTGGGCCAGCTCAGGACATGGGAACTCAATCCAGGTCTTCTACATGGGTGGCAGGAACCAAAACCTTGAGCCGCCACCTGCTGCCTCCCAAGGTGTGCATTACCAAGGAAACTGGAACCCAGAGCTGGGGCCAGGACCAAACCAAGAACTAAAGATGGGACGCAGGTTTTTATTTTTTTTTTTTAAAGATTTATTTATTTTATTTGAAAGGCAGAGTTACAGAGAGGCAGAAGCAGAGAGAGAGAGGGAGAGAGGGAGGGGGTAGAGAGGGAGAGAGGGAGAGGGGGAGGGAGCAAGAGAGAGGTCTTCCATCCACTGGTTCACCCCCCAGTTGGCTGCAACAGCCAAAGCTGCACTGATCTGAAGCCAGGAGCCAGGAGCTTCTTCTTGGTCTCCCACACGGGTGCAGGGGCCCAAGGACTTGGAGCATCTTCTACTGCTTTCTCAGGCCACAGCAGAGAGCTGGATCAGAAGTGGAGCAGCCAGGACTCGAAACCAGCGCCCATATGGGATGCCGGCAGTTACCCTACTATGCCACAGCACTGGCCCCATGGACACAGCTATCTTAACCAGCATCCTACTAACTAGGCCAAAACCCAACTCCTCAAGATTTTCATAAGCAAAAATCATAGGGAAATACACCACAGGACACGCTGGGAGCCCGCCTTGGTCCACTGTGTAATAGTGGGATTCAGCAGTGAACAGAAGAAGGGCTCATTTCTTAGAAGAAAAATAAAGCGGCAGCAGCAGTCAGCAGGCGACGGCAGGGGTGGCACGGGGAGGGCAGAGCAGGGCGGAGGCTGCTTGTTGTGGACGGCTGCCTAGAGGGCACGTTTGCTCAGAAGGCCCTCGGGAAGAGGAGTCACAGGAAGAGCTGCAAGCATTTCTATTCCATGCCAATAATCAAGTAGGCAACTGCTCAAAAAGCAACCCAAAGGGGCCAGCGCCATAGCAGAGCAGGCTAAGCCTGCAGTGCCGGTATCCTACATGGGCGCTGGTTCGCGTCCTGGCTGTTCTTCCCATCCAGCTCTCTGCTGTGGCCTGGAAAAGCAGTGGAAGATGGCCCAAGCTCTTGGGCCCTTGCACCCGCGTGGGAGACCTGGCTCCTGGCTCCAAATCGGCCCAGCTCTGGCCATTGTAGCCTTTTAGGGAGTGAACCAGTGGTTGGAAGATCTTTCCTCGCTGTTTTTCCCTCTCTGTCTGTAACTCTACCGCTAAAATAAATAAAATCTTTTAAAACAAAAGCTGAAAAACATGAAATGGTTCATAGTTTTTATACCGCATTTTATGAGGTTTTAGGAGTGTGCGAAGGAACTCTTAGTAGATAGAAGTTACCTTTTCTTCCAAATCCCCTGAAGGGTAGTCCTCTTCTATGGGATGCCTGAAACATAGATTATGCTGATGCCACCACATCCACCAAAAACCCCACGTAGACAGCAGTTAATTGGAAGAAGTATTAAGATGATACAACTGACAGCCTTAATTGGCTTTGCAATTAAAAAAAATACTGCTAATGACACTTGTGACTGGGACAACCTCACAATGTTGCAACTCCGATGTGATCAGCACTAGCAGACCAGCTCCAGCCTGCAGCCAGGTTTCCACTGAAGGATTTATGATGTCACAGTTGAGCTGCCACGTCACAGAGCTACCGGGCCTCCCTCAGTGCAGGTAACAAAGGATGAAAAAATGTGAATTCCCAAGACAGTAGACTGCTCTGTCAACTCTGCTGCCTGAAAAAACCAAGCCTCAGTATCACCTAATTAAATTTCAAGATTTATGATGAAAATCCACTGACAATCTAAGCTGGAAGTTATGTATTAAGACAGGATTCTCAGGGCTGGCACGACGGTGCAGCAGGTTAAGCTGCCCACTGCAAGGCCCAGCATCCCACATGAGCATCAGTGTAAGCCCCAGCTTCTCCACTTCTGATCCAGCAGCCAGTTAATGCGCCTAGAGAAGCAGTAGAAAGAGCCAAGTTCTGAGGCCCCTGCCACCCACGTAGGAGACCCAGATGGGGTTCCAGGCTCCTGACTTTGGCTCGGCCTGGCCATCTGGGGAGTCAAGCAGCAGATGGAAGATTTCTGTATGTGCGTGTGTGTATGTCTGTGTGTCTTCCTCTGTCTCTGCAACCCTGCCCTTCATATAAATAAAACTAAATCTTTAAAAAAATAAATAAATAAGATTCTCAAAGGATTCTGTTTCTTCTTTGGAAAAAACCTTTAAAGATTGTATCAAATATTTTAAGGCTGAAAACAGGAAAATAAGAATACTACAAACTGAACACTTACATAAAGATGAAAAAATCTCATTTTATTGTTTTACATTTGTATTTAGTTGAACTAAATGAAGACAAATACACACTGAAAAATGTAGAACTGGTCCGCATTTTGGTGAGCTCCTTCCTATTTAGTTTAAAAAAAAAAAAATGTGGCTAATAAATTGCAAAATCAACAGTTAGATTTTACTAATAAAATTGTACTTCCAGAACATCAGCGGAACATTTTTGTGAATAACTGAGCTGAAACTATTATTTTTATATCTACTTGCTGTAATTCCATGAAGACATTCATGCAAATCCTCTTCATGGGTCTAGTACATAATTGTCACCTGAAACCTATAATCTGAATAAAACTAGGGCAAGTGGATTACAGTTTCTGGTGTTGTAAATATAAATGGTCAAATTTTATGTCTCTAAAAAATTCACCCACTGAAAGCAAAACAAGTATCACCAATCAAGTACTGTCAATTCTGACAATACTTCCAGGAAGCAGTTAAAGAAAAACTAGGGTCCTTCATCCATCAAGAAATGTTCTTTTCCTTCACCTAATTCTTGGAAGTATCTAGACTTTCCCATTTATTATATTTAAAGCATCATAAAATTTCCTATTTGTAATACTTAGAGCATGATTTCTATATTTTAACCAAAAGGACTGTGTTTCATTGACTATCATATTTTTAAAAGTACAATGAAAATGAATGTCATTTTTATAGAAATCAAAAACCAAGCTCTAGAACTTTCAAAAGTCAATCTTATATTTGGTTTCACTAAGATTCAAACTGACCATAAATTACTAGCCAGATTCTTTTCTAAGTAATAAATGCATACACAAGTTGCAGTGAAATCTTGAGCCAAAAAGGAATTTTATGCAGCAGGCATCCTATAAGGAAAACAATGGAAGTTAAAATTCCTCTTAATGGTAACACAGGTCTTTCTAACAATTAACAGAAAATGTACATGCCAAAAGCCAGAAACCACAGAAGGAATATCTAAAAGCAGCTTGTCCAAAATTTCATGTTAATTTTCATTTCTGACCTAAAACAATTCTTCAAAAAAAATCAGAATATTCTTTTTAAAATGGTTAAATTTCATTTATTGGAAAAGCAGAGAGAGAAAGACAGAGATAGAGAGATCTCTCATCCACTGGTTCACGTGCCAAATGCCTGCAACTGGGGCTCAGTCAAACAGAAGCTGGGAGCCTGAATCTCCATCCAGGTCTCCCAGGCAGGGGTCCAGGTAACTGAGCCACCACCTGGGGAACAGAGCCAGGATTAGAACCCAGGCACTCTGAGATGTAGCTGGTCTACATGGCATTGTAAGCGCTATGCCAGATCCCCGTCCTAGAACAACTCTTTACCAGAATGTCTATGAAACAAACCACAATTTGTTTAAATTATTTTATCATATTTCTCCTACCAATCACTTGGTATGAGTCTAAAGAATACTCACTTAGCACAAACAACCTTGAAAAAACAGAATAATAAATAAAATGTGGTATATACAAACAATCGAGTACTATTCAGTCAGAAAAGGAAGGGAAATGGTAGGGATTGGGCATTTGCCTACTGGTTAAGACGCCTGGGTCCCCAACACGGTGGTACTGGTATAAGCACCTGGGTCCAAGACCTCTGAGCCCGGCTTCCTGCTAACACAGACCCTCGCAGCAGCAGGTGACGGCGCCAGCACTTGGTTCACTGCCATCCACTGGGAGACCTGGGCTGAGTCGCAACTCCTGGCTTCAGCCTGGCCAGTCCCAGCCATTGCGGGCATTTGGGCAGGGCATCCTCAGAGAGCAGGGCCCTCTCTCTCTCTCTCTATCTCTCTCATATCTGCTGTCTCACTCAAATATGGACACGGAGTTTCAGCTTTGGAGGTGTATTTCATTATTTTACAACACTGCAGATGTACTGAACACTACTCAACAGTATGCACTTAAACGTGGTTAAGATGGTATATTTTGTCGGGTTTTTGTTTTTCTT